AACACAGTTCTATTATGTTTTTTGGCTTGTCATATTCAATTAGAAAGCGTTTATCGCTAAAATAAGAAATTGTCTCAAGGACGGTTATTTGTGCTCCATTTTCTGTTACAATTTGTTTTAATGGTTCTTTGCACATGAATCTGATATTCATCACTACTTTCTGCAGAATTCTGCGTAATTATTAATGAATCGCTTGAGTCGTTTTACTCTACAGAACTGGCTAAATTATTTAGATTTTGTCTAACTAATGCGTTAGCAACTACACTTGTTGCCTCTGGTTTGTAAATTATTTTTGGCGAAAAAGTTTCAATAAATGCTTTTCATCTTTTAATTTTTATATTTGGATTTTCTTCAGAATGGAACCTGTGTCATTGGTTGATTGGTCAGTGCGTATTTCCAAATCACTAACACCATATAAATAATTACGTAAAGCTTTTAAAGCCCCCACTATGTGGAACAATTTCTTTCTCATTAGTTGCATAATTTAATTTAGTAAAATTAAATGTTTTTTAAATAAATATAATTGGTTTTACCTGCTTGTGGTAACACAGTACCCAAAGCTAGATTTGATTCATCGATAGTCAAAATAAATTACTATAGTCAGATTGTGTTACTTCTACCTATTGAGAAAATAAACGTATAATTTTCTTTTTTGATAGATATTGGAAATGTTTTCCGTTTTCCCTTGCAAATGTTTTTTTAATTGTTTTGAAACAGCGGCATAGTTTTCAATAAATACAGCGTCGAATACTTTCAAAGCTGGAGTGTTTTCGTCCATTCGGACAACATGACCTAGCCAGCGTAGCCGCTGTCTTTTGATTCTCTGAACTATGTCAATGTCGTCGTATATCTCGTACAGCTCATCGTTCCATCGAATGCGATATTCCCCGTGGTAAACTTTTCTCTCGAAAACTCGCACGGTCGACTCATCAGTTGTTGTCATCGTCCAAGCCTCTGCACCATATATCAGGACGGGAATTATGAGTAATAGAGTTTAGTTGTTGTTCGTCGAGAGAGGACTTTACTTCTCAATTGCCTACTCAGTCGAAATTAGCACCTGTTGGCAAGAGTAATCCTGCGTTGGATTTCAAGGCTGACATTGTTGGCGGTGTTTACACTGGTTCCCAATTAAACGAAACTATCTACAACTTCAAAGTTATGACTGTCAACAGTGACGTGAGTGCCAAGTCGCGAGCGCGACGACTGTTTGTTTGATGGCAGGATTTTGCCCTCGTTCACTGCCAGAACCATCTGCTTTGCTCCTTGTCCTGTCTGGAGAAAGCAGAACTAACGGCGCGGGTGTTGACAATAATGGTATCAATATAATCGGCATATGCCAGCAGCTGTACACTTTTATAAAWGATTGTATCTGCTCGATTAAGTTCTGCAGCTCGAATTATTCTCTCCAGAAGCATTTTGAAGAAGTCGCACGATAAGGAGACAGATAACCATATTTCGGGTACCGGAGAAGTCGATCAGCCTCAACCCATTTGGGGATGTTTCGTCGTGGAGGCTGAATTTACCGACCGTAGTGTCAAAGATACCTTCTTTGCCCACCCTGGCGTTAAAGTCGTCAAGCACGATTTTGACATCGTGGCGGGGGCAGTTCTCATAGGTGCGCTCCAAGCGCTCATAGAAGGCATCTTTGGTCACATCGTCCTCTGAAGAACCTCGCTTTGATGCAGATTATGGCTAGACGTTCATTCACCAGAGTGAATGATAGTACTCGGCGGAGGAGTCTCTCTCCCACCACGAATCCCACACCAAACTTGCACTCCTTTATATAGCCACTGTAGTAACTGCCACAAGCACCTACTCGTCTTTGTCCTCGTTCAGTCCATCGCATTCCTTAGACGGCGGTGATGTCAGCCTTCACTCTAACGAGAACATCAACCAGCTGGGCAGCGGCACCTTCCCAATTAAGGGACCGGACATTCCAGGTGCATGCCCTCGTGTCATAGTCCTTAATTCATTTGCCATGGTCGTCATCAAAAGGGGTCACTCCTAGGCTTGTTGTTCCTTTTCATTTCGTGCGATTTTTACGTGACGGGTCCCAAACCCAGCTCAAAATCCTATGTAGGGGATGTTTCGCCTTCTCTCTTTAGCTCGCCTTCAAACGGATGTTCTTAAGCTACCCTGAGAATACTTGACCGAATAAGGACCGGAAGTCGTGAGCTGCTTGAGCGATATGTAAAAGAATCGTTTCTGGCTCCCAAGTGAATAGCTATCAGAGAACTACTTCTACACATGAATCCATCCTTAGATATTATATATCGTAAAAATTCTACCTCCTGCTGGTAAAATTTTAACTTTGCGGGAGATATTTTCATTCATCCTTTAATATTTTAATTATTAAAGTGCTTTTCCTGTTCTACTAAACTTGTTGTTATAACATGATCAACATAAATATGACAATACTTTCCTATATAGTCCCTTAATACGTTGCCCAAAAATATTTTTCAAAACCCAGACTCTAGGTTTAAATGTTTTAATTTTCCTAAATTTGTAAGTGTTTAAACTTGAACCCAATGTAATGCAAAGCACCGCACCAAACATGTAAAATATAGTTGATTAAAATAAAATTCCGTATCTCGGCCTGGTATATTTACACTTTATTTCATTTAATGTAATTAACCTACGTACATATATTGCTTTACAGAAGTAAACTGAATATTACTGATGCCGATGTTAAAATCGTTTTGAGTGCCCAAGAGATTTATCACGCAAGCTCGTCGTATTACATTTATGTCGGTTTGAATGCCGCGGACAGGATTTTTACGTTGAATCCAAAGGTGATGTGGTGATGTTCCATGCTAGTGGCTTGGCGTACAGGTGTGGTGAGTAATGTAAGTATTACCTCCGAGCTTGACATTGGATATCTATTCTCGCATATGCTTTTTAAATCGATTAGACTTTCTTTGTTTTGCTGTCAGTTTTTCCATCAGATAGAGCTGTATGACTTTTTTGTTCAATCTTGTCTTTTGTTATTTTAATGCTTTTATTTTTTTTTGCTCGCGCCTTACGATTTCCATACAATAATTAAATCACTTAGAAAATGTATTTTTCTGTTTTATTTGTATTATACATAAATTATCATTCGATATGTAATATCAATTTGGTTTCCGATTTGGTTTGAAAAATATATTCCTGTTAAGAGGTCGCTCTATAAATTTTCAAAAAAAATCGTTCTTGACCGTCAAATAAGTTGATATTATGGAAATATTGGAAGGGGGTAATTCTTAATATCTGGGTAATTTCGAGAAACATCTCTATAACTTTTTGAAAAAAAAAAAACGCAATAGAAATTGTGCTCGCGTTTGGTTAGAATAACCTTCGCAAGAACATTTGGTAAGTCGTGTACCACCCTTGTAGAAAGTATCTTATCTTTTGGGTGTTTAATCCCGTTATAAAAGTTCTAAGAGCCGTTTCTAATTAATAATGTTAATTTCTTATTAACATACTTAATTATAAAATTCTATTAGAGTTCAAGGTCCCTGCCTCAATCCAATATCTTGTTCAATTATATAACAAGGTCGTTTTTCTGCGAATGCGAAATCTAGTCGATTTAGGATCGCGTATACTATAAATTTAAAACAATTCCATGATTTGTCAGGATATCATTTGCATCCTCGCGCCACCTAACATAATTATCAGGTTTAGATCTAAATTCGAGTAGTGCTTTAATAACGTCTAGACTTTATTCGCAAATTTATATTCTGTAAAATTATTTGCACCATGTTTGATTTGAAAGATCAAACGGTTAAACTCTAATAAGAATCTTTAAGTTCTTACATCTGGTGGGGGAAAAAAAGACTTTATCTGAGCTGAGCATATATTCATTATAATTTATATTTGATATTTTCATTGTTTATATACAATGTTTAAAACTATCTTAAATTACTAAATATATGTATGTGGATGTGTGTATGTTTGTATGTATTGCAGCATATTGTATATTGCTGCTTGACATGGGGTTGTTTTCAAGTGTACAATTTAATATATGTGTGTGTGTGTCTTTAATGTTATCTGATCTGTAACTTTATGACTTGTCTTTACCCATTACATGTATGTAAATGTTTGAGTGTTTTATATACATATGTATGTATGTATATTTATATATATGATAATACAATATATTGGAAACGTTATTGCTACTAATATTTGTTATAGACATTATGAAAAAACTGCATATTAAGCTTTCCAGCTTTCATTCTTATTTAATAAGTTTTTTTCTAACACTTTTGTACACTTGAACCTAATGTGATTTTTTCAATACTCAATACAATTAGTTTTCAGTAAAATATCCAATGGAAATCTCATTATTTTTTCAATTGACAATATTTGTTTGCTTCATTTTCGCAATTAAACCTCAAATATAGTGGACTCGCGATAATATGAACACCCTAAATTATGAACCACCCCAAAATATGAACACTTTTTGGCTACCGTTGACTACTCTAAAATATGAACTTTGGACAAAAGCTCTAAAATATGAACAATATTGTTGTCAATAAAGCGCTTTGAAATTTGGGGAATTCCCTAGTTTTCCGCATTCAATATGCATGTACATACATACATATGTATTTACCCATCGCTCGAAAATGCTTACATGTGTTCATTACAGGGTTTGATTTTGTCTACGTCAGTCGTCTGTAAGAATTTTTAAGTGTTTTTGGTTGGTGATTGCACGCAAGCATAAGTGCCTCTTTATTTTCTTAAGAAATAATCAAATGTAAATAATTTTTAAACATGCACACAAAAAAGCATACGTTTCTGACTTTAAAGCTTACGAAAAGGTGCAAGTGTTACAAATTTAACAACTAAATACGGAGTGGCAAAGTCTACAGTATGTGGAATAAAGAAAAATAAAAATGCTATCCTTAAATGTGTTAACAATACATTTATGGGTTCTGGAAAAAGGAAAACTATGCGTCCATTAGAGTATCCAAAATTGGAAAAATCGTTGTATAGATGGTTTTTGCATATGAGGGACAAAAAACTCCCGGTGAGCGGTTTGATGTTAAAAGAAAAGGCGAGGGTGCTACATTGTACAATTAAAGAAAATTGCCTTGATTTTCAAAATTTCAAAAATAGATATGGCGTTCGGTTGCCCCAAGTTTCTGGGGGAAAACTATCTTCACAGCCCCAGTTGGTCGATCCATTCAAAAAAGCTCTACTCAAGCTCCTTGTGATAGGCAAGGCCAGAAACCTCCGTTGTTTTAAGGGGTTTGACTGCCCTGTTCATTATAGACATTCAAAGTCCGCTTGGATGACTGTCGCTATCTTCAAAGATTGGTTCCATCGTTCATTCATACCTGAGGTAAGTTTTAACTCGTATTTCAGTAGCTTACAACTTATGTAGGTAACGAATTTTTGACAAAAAAGGGTCTACCAGTTAAGGCTGTCCTTTGAATTGATAACGCTCCATCGCATCCACCTGAGAATGAACTTAAAAGTGAAGACGGCTCTATTTTAGCAATGTTTATGCCACCCAACGTCACCCCCCTTATACAACTCATGGTCCAAAATGCAATCAGGATTACAAAACTTTATTACAGAAACAATCTTTTGGCTTCCGTTGCTGCAACAGGATGTGACTTGCTAGAGTCTATGAAGCAAATTTCACTTAAGGGCGTTATTATTACCCTTGAATCTGCATGGAATAAAGTGGATGAGGCTGTGCTATCAAAATGCTGGAACAATGTTTTGAGTATGCTTGAAAATCAAGAAGATCCTGAAGATGAAATTCCTTTGAATATCCTTCGAAGGAACTTGAATATGAATGTGGGGGAGGAGAGCGCAGCCAATCTTTTACAAAACTTGAGACCTGAGGTTTGTTTTATCAGAAACGTAAACTCAAAAAAGTTTTATTTACTGTTTATATTCACTGCAGATTGGAATCACTGCTTGCAACGTTAGAGAATGGAACGAGGATGCTATTGAATTCAATGAAAATGAAATGAAATGACGACTATACTGTACAGTCGCAAAAGACGATTACAGCAAGAGAAGCTATTGACATATTTAATAATGCTTTGGAAACGGCTGAAAGTGAAATGGTTGAACAAAAGAAACAGCAAAAGAGGATTACCGATTTTTGCAAATGAGCTTCAACTTTTTATAAAATTAAAATATGTATAATATGAAATTATATCTAAACTGTTTTGTTTACATGCAACATTGTTTTACTGTGTAACGAAAAAAATTAATAAAACAAGTTTATTTTGAAGTTTAAAATAAAAAAAAAATTTAATTTAATACTACATTTTATCGTTTTTGCACCTTTCGTAATTATGAACAATCTCGCAAAAATCAACAGTCCCGTTTTTAATTAGTTCATATTATCGCGAGTCCACTGTATAATTATTTGGATTCTTATATCGGTTTTAGAGTTTTCACCTTTATTGGTAAATAATATTTTCAATGTATTTTATTATAATAGTATTTTTATTTTAGTATCTTATGAGTCGGCGTTACGAGTTTACAAAACAAAAGTTCTGCGGAAGGCGTATGGAACGATGAGTTGAATTAAGAGACAGCGGGTACGCTGGGTAAGTCATGTCGTCCGATAGATGAAAACATTCTATCTCCGAAAGTTTTCGACGCAGTACCCGCCGAGGGAAGCAGATGCTGAGGAAGACCTCCACTCCGTTGGAAAGACCATGTGGAGAAAAACACTAAACTTCAAAAAGGAAGAACCGCTGGCGCGATGTTGTAATCTCGTTGTAATTTAGCTGGTATACACCACAGCAACGCATTGTTCGGAAATATATACTAAATATATATTTCTAAGTTATATAATCAATATGTTTTACACATATGGCTTCACTTACAGCTTCACGCCTCTGAAAATGGTGCTTTCTGGTGCTGTTTTCAGAACTCAGAACTGGAACTTTCCCCAATTAATCCCACTCACTGACTTTTCTTTTGATACTGCTACTCGTTATACTGAATCGTTGGTGTTGTGCTGCTGTGCTGTTTGTTGTCGTTTTTTTGTTTTTTTTTTTTTGTTCTTTGTTTATTGTACTTAGTTTTTGTTTGTTTTTATCAATTGATTTCCTGATGCTTTTGTGTTGTTCTTCACACGGTTTGTGATACTCAGTACATTTTTTCCTTCTTTTATAGCTATGTTTTTGTGTAATTTTGTCGAATTTGTCTTAATACTTGTATGATTTTTCTAATGAAATAGCAGATTTTTGTCCACTTACCTGGCTATTCTGCAAGTGCAATATTTATGTTTATGGTGTTAAATTACATACAGTGCTTGGATTCAAAACACTGCTTGGACCCTAGATCATGAGTTTGACAACATATTCATGTAATTTTGGTTGTAAATTTTTATTCGGTATCTCTACACAAACAAATTTATGAATATCCGACGGCCCGACACTTTTGTAATTTTTTCACATAAAGTTATCAAAATGTGAGCATGAGGCAAACCTCTTTTGAAATTCGATTGTTTATGTACATATTATATATAAGATATCAACTTTGGCAAAAATATCTTTATTTCAAATGTCAGATATGAGTTCTCTTAACTTCGATTTAAATACAGAGTTACAATAGATTACAATCTGAATTGGTCAAATATTGTAATTAATATTGATAAAATGTAATCGACATCCTTCTATTCTCACATACGTTGATCTATACTGCAAAAATAGTTTTTGAGATTTAAGCAAAATGTTAACATGATTCCTATTGCAAATGTCGGGAATTTTGAAGTGAAAAATTGCTCTTCAAACTATGTTATTGTTGAGATACGCGTCGGTTTATGAGGCTCTAAAAATGAATGAAATTTCGCCTGCAAAAACGTCGAGGATGTTGAAACTCTGCCTTCTAAAAGTGTTTCCTAGTGGTATAACGAGTTCTAAGCCGGTCGTGAGAGTGTTGACAAAAATGTGGTGTCAAATCGGCCAAAAACATCGACTGATGAACATCTCGTCAAACAAGTCAAAGAAATGGTGCTTGAAAATCTTCGATGATCAATTAGAAACATTGCTGATAGTTTGGGCATATCATTAGGATCGGTGCAGGCGACTTTGAAAGACGAATTGGGCTGGAGCCCTTTGCGAAAAAGCAAAGCATTACTTAAGAGATGCATTAAATAGTTTTTTAAGGGTTTATATACATGTATATTTGGCTTTTTTTAAGAAATCATATCTGAGATACAATTAAATGATTGTTTTAAAATATTCAGCTGATATAAGACGTCTACTTCGGAAATGGTGGGTGCATTACTTCTAGAAATCGGACATAACTTGTGCTGATGCGGAAGATTTTTTCGAAAGTTCGAAGAGTAATTGGACTAAAAGAATTCAGGAGACATATTGGAAATTGTGTGATTGTCATTGTACATAGTATACTTATATTTCATCGTGGACGGAAAATTAGAAATCTTACGTTTGGAGTTGACGGAACCATAAAACAATTTTGGATTACGTTTAATATGATTTTATATTTAGTTTATATATCTATTATAACATATTTTACTAAGTTCAGCAAATTGCCGACGCAATTTAGAATATTTTGAATAGTCAACCGCTAAACAGCTTTTTTAAAAAGTTTATAAGCACGAGATTTTCTATTTTTTAATTTACATAACTCTCTCGAAAACCATAAATTGGAACTTATTCTTCGAGTAACAACACATTTCGGAACATATCTTTCAAATAAATTTAAATAATTTCATTGAAATGGGAGACACTAAATTCAATATTGCACTGTAATCTGCCCTGAAAGTTAGAAAATTTGCTTTTTCAAAGTTGAACCGAGAACAAAGGTCTTGTCTATTATTATTAACTAAGTTGGCTATGATTTCGATAATAATTTCCAAAGCAGGATGATACGAGTCCTCTGGCAGAACCAAAGGATTACATCGGACAAAAAAAATATTGAAGTGTTATTAACGTAAACCGGATCTAAGATCTTACCAAACTGGTTTGAAATTAAATTAATTTTATTAGAACCCGACTTTGACATTTCATCTAAGAACTCGTTAAAACATAAGCGAGCACTAACAAGAATGATGTAATGATGTTTAGATCTCATGATACACAAGTTAAATTGAAATCTCTTAAAACAATCATGGTATCAGTATTATTAGCCATGGAGAAAACATTATTTATTAAAGAAGCATATATACAGATAAGTCCGATTGAGGCGGTATATAAGATAAAGTTAAGTAAATATGACCACTATTGGCGCAAATTCGAATGCACCTAAACTCAATGAAGTCTGCATTCTGCTCAGCCGGTCATATCTAAAGATTTCAAATTCGCTATTGAATATCTCATTATCAAAAATGTGTGCCTTTAGCCAAGTTTCTGTGAAAGCAATAATTTTAAAATTACAATTAATGCTATTTAAATAGAGATCAGTAAGTTTTTTATTAAGACCTCTAACATTTTTATAATAAATACTCAAGGAATTATTGTTAATCAGTTTTTTTCTTGGCATTTTAGGAACAACTACCGTGAGTTTATCACGGTTTTGCTCGAGTTCACGCACAGACCCCAGATGGCCAGAATGAGCTGTCAAGAACCAATAGAAAATTGTCAGCGGATATGTCGATCTTAAAAGACGAAATATTCCTGTCGTAGTTGAAGTTAAGTTTTACGGACGGGTGTATCGTCCGTTTTTATTTGGCAAAATATAAAACTTTATGTCGTCAACTGTGGTATCCGCACCAAATCTTGATATGAAATTAATTTTTTCTGTGTATTACAACTAAACTTTTATTACCAAACTTCGAGTTATTTGGAGGCGGATCCTGAGAAGTTTTTAATAATTTGAAAAATAATTTTCAGCTAATAGTGAAAGATGGACTTTACCCTTATGACAACACATAGTGAAGGAATCTAAGATTGTAGCATTAATTACATTTCGTGTTCTACACAATTACATATTTTCTCTATTTCTTTGCTCCTGTACTCTCTCTGTAAGCGATTTACGGTATGGCGTGATGAAATAGATGTGTCCCCATCGAAGACACTACACATAAAAAAATTAATTAATTTAATGAATGACTGATTATCAGTAAAAATCGCCTACAGAACATAAAAATTACGTGCACAATTTTCTTTACAAATTGAAAGTAAAGCAAACAAGTAAGTTCGGGGGCAACCGGCAATTTGTACTTTTGCAACTTGCACGAATCAAAGCCAAGGAAATGCCTTAAGGTGTAAAACATCAACGAGAGGAGTCATAATCCAATCATTTTTATATGTATATTGAAATCGTATACTGACCAACATATTTAACATAAGGTTTGTTAGAAAAATTAAAATCATTATATGTAGTATCGACCCGATTTTATCTATTTTTGCCAGAACCACATACTATTAACGTGCTACATACTAAAAAAGATGATCTTTGGGTTTCATAAAGTACCTCGCATGCAATCTCCAATCATGTGGAGTCAAGTCAGCCGGATGTTCGAAAATCCGGATGTTATATAGGAGATAGGTCAAGTTTTCAACTATTTCCATCTATTTTAGGTACAAAGATACACTTTTATGCAAACAACACGTTCTCTCATTACCATCATAACTCACATATTGGCCGCTATATCCGGAATAAAGTCACTCGGAAGTTCGAAAAACTGCATATTAGGTATATGGGAGCTCTAGGGGTTTGAACAGTTTTGGTTGGATTTCAACATGTTTTGGTTATAAAGTGGAGTACTTTAAAGGATGAAAGTGAAAGAATCAAGTGGAATTTAATATTGTTGTATATGAGTAGGCATGGTTTCGCCCATTTTCACATTTTGACATAGGAATATGAAAATAATGAACTTACAATATATGGCGTTCATCAAAAAATGAGCGGTGCCACGTGCATCGTTCTCATAAATATCTCTCATACCATCTCGCAGGTAAAATTTAATTAGTTATGTATTTATTTATTGCGCTTTCATTAGTTTACCGTTATATCGGGTGTGAGTAGGGTTATTTTCTGACACTGTCGGTAGGAGTCCTTACAATATTTGCGCTGAGTAAATTTAGCTGTAGAATTGGTGGTTTAGGAGATATATACATTGAATTGCCCACAGGTGCTACTACAATGCCCGGTGTCAAATTAGAGTTTTATGGCTGTGTTCGAGCTGCTTAACTTGATACTCTGTTGCTGATGTTCAGCGGATACTTTGCTGCAATACTGCAATCGTACTCGTTCTTCCTTTTTTGCCAAGAACAAGCATTCCAAGTTTCAAGATATCTTAATACACTATTTGCAATCCTGATGAATAATAACCTCATCGTCCTGCAAGTCAACAATTCTACTTTTTTTATTAAAAAATGTGTAAGCAAACAATAATAATAATGATGAAATAATAATACATGTGATTGTATCTATAAATACGGATCCCATCCAGGGTATAGACGACAAAGATTTTGTTTGGAAATAGCATCATTTATTAACCTTTGCACTTGAATGTCAGTATTGACGGTTCCTGTGATGTTACTTAACCTTCCTTCCAACTTATGCTGTACACATAAAAGAGCACGTTGTGCAGTTAAATTTTTCTCATCATCTATATAAGAGGTGTATTGAACTATTTTTATTTAAGTGGAAATAAAACTCAACACTCATAAAATTTTACCTTTAGATCCAGCGGGTGTTGGCACTACATTCCAAATATATAGCGGATCATATAGTAAAACTTCAAGAATTGTAATTATTACGGAATGATTTTTTCGCAAAACTTCCAATGTTGATTGGCATGCTTTCTTAAATACCCCACCTGTTTCACAAATGCCCATTGGCGCAATCATATCTCTGGTTAGACGAAATGGTACGGTTTCTGGGGTAGGCATTATTTTTCCTTGCTCAAAAGCAATTCCTGCAACCAATTAAATACATGTTTAAGACATTTTCTAAGTTATTGCTCGCAATTTTCAATACCGAAATCGATATGAATTAATTCAGCAGATTTCTCATCAATCAGTATATTCTGAGTATGTCGATCGCCTAGACCCACAACAAAGCCAACCATGGAATTCACAGCCACACTATATTTAAAATATATAAAAATTAGTACAATTATAATTTTATTATCAATAATAAGTTACCTGTTGGTGTAAGCTAGGCGTCGTTCAAACCAAATTCCTGGAACTACAAATTTTTCCATCAGAAAATAATGGAAAACGGGCTTTATTTGTGAGCATATTTGCTCGTAAATCGACAGTCGCTTTTGTATGTCGGATTTAAGATGTTGCTGAATAGAAATAAGAAGTCATAAATATTAAAATATTAATCAGTTATAAAAAATGATTTATGTAAACTGATGTAACTTGTACATTTATGAAAAAAACTCTTACCATACATATTTGACGGCACTTATAGGGTGTGATATCAGCAGGCCGATATTTCCGATGTGCGCCAGCCTTGTCGCTTCCACTACCCAAATACATACCGATCGGTATAGTACTTTCACACCACTCTAATATTCCACTTCTCCTTGAGAGCGGTACAACTTTATAAGTGCGAATATTAATTTTCCGTTCACTCGTTTTCGGATCGTGGGACAATAGTGTGTTCATTAGGGAAAAATATTGCTGCATTACAGCATCTTGACGCAAATCATCTCGACCTTTTAAAAGTTGAGGCCGCGATTTTCCATCAGAACATAAACAGTTGAGTTTTTTTGGAGCATTTATACCTCCTACTAGTGACACGCTTTCTTCCCACCGTACGATACCTAAAATATATATGAAAATACCATAAGATGGACTTAATATGTGATAAAATCAAGTTAAGTGAAGCAGCGCAGTCGGCATTGTGCTTTCAAATATAAACTTCCGATATACGAGCGACATATTCCAACGAATTTTGGGTCCTGCCGTGTTGTTAACTTAATTAACCGTACAAATGCGAATTGGTTCGTTGATTTAGTATGGGAATCAAGGATAAGGATATAAAACGATATTTTCTTCTGTTGTGGTAACAGACGACAGAAAAACTTCGTTGAATTCAATGTAATCATATTAATTAAATTTATTTCAAAAATAGCCTCTTGCCAGTTTTTTCGTAGATATATATGTATATATATGATATGCTTACAAAAGTAAAAAGTAAGAAAGGGCTAAGTTCGGGTGCAACCGAATATTTTATACTCTTGCAATTTGAAAGAATTAAAGCAAAGGTATCAAATCCATTATGTTATATTATATAAAAATCCCCAAGTTGCATTAAGGTACGTACCATCATCAATCATATGATGCTCGAAAATTCTGATACTAGTTATACTAGTTCAATCCATTTTAAGCACAAAGATACATTGAAAAACATGATTTCTCATTTTCATTTAGATAACTCACATGTTGGCCGATATGTACGAAATAACGTCACCTGAAAGTTCGGAAATAGTTGTATTGAATATATGTGAGTTAAGGGAAGTATTGACCCGATTCAATCCATTTTTGACATATTCTCATTGATAATGAGGATTATCCCTGAATTTCAATTATAAATCTCACATATCGAACGATATCTGCGGTAAATAGTCAACTTTAGGTAGGTTAGGTTCAAATATTCGGTACCTAGTGCCTTGAACCGTTGTTTGATTTGAACAATTGTTCGTCCTAAAGACATTAGAGGGGCAAAATGTTATGTCTCTGGCGTATTTAATTATTGATTTTCCAAATTATCCAGTAGACAGTACAGGTTTTTATAGGATTTAGATATGTACGTTAAACCTATTAGAAGGCTTGGCCACGCCCATTTTTTTCCAAATTTTTACCCCAAAGGGGCCTCTTGCTATTAAAATTCTTTGTACCACATTACAGTTCTATAGCTTAATTAAGTGCTTAGTTATGGCACTGGATAAGTTTTCTTGAACGGACAGACAAACAGTCCTTTCGGATTTCAACTCGGCTCATCATCCTGATTATTAATATATATATATATATATATCTAACTCGATTAATTTTAGGTGACACAACCGCTAGGTTAACAAAACAAGTAAATAAGTTAATTTGGAATAATTATACTTACTTATTATTGCGTATGCCTTATTAGGTAATACTGGAAGTTCAATTGTTGGGCAATGAACAGCGTCTAAGCATTTCATTCTTTTTAATTTGTCACATAATGCCATAGTAGAACTCTTTCCACAATCAGCATCTGCGAACTTAATTAAAGCTGAAACAAAATCAATTAATTATTTATAATTTACTGGGTGTAATGGTTTTAACAGTTTGCGCACCAGGAAATAGCATTGCCAACTGTTTTGCAGATTGTGCATTTGACGAGTTTCGACCCTTTGTAATTATTTCGGCAGCAATGGTCGAACGACTATTACTTGATTTTCCTCCTGTATCATCAAAAATTAACGGATACAACTGATAAAGTGTGTGATGTGGATGATCTTGTATGCAGTTAACTAATATTTCTTTAATGATGGTAATAAAATCCACTTGTTTCGTATTTAATCTAGCGGTAATCTGATTCAAAGCGCAAATAAATTTATAGGAAGGAATTATGTTCACATTATCCTTTATTTCTTTATATAATGCTTCATCTTGCTTATTGGCAAACCACAATGCTATTATCCTGTATATTGCAGCATCAGAAAATCCAGAATCAATTTGACAAAATTTCATATAATTCTTAACAGCAATGCACAAGTTATTTGAGCGTTTTTCCTCAATAAATTTTATCTCCGTCTCATCCAAATTTGCATACTTTTTCATTATGATTACACCATGGTTAATATCACGATCTCTGTGTTGTCGACCAATTGAATCCGCTGTTTGTCTGTTTTGTTGAATGATTTGACATTTCAGTTTAAATTCATCAGAATTGATGTACGCATTAGACTACAAATAAATTGATTGTAATTGTCAAATCATTGGAATTGAGGCAGACATATAATTTACATTGACTGGGTTTCCAAACGAACTCTTTTGCCGCTCATTATTGGAAAACTCTCTTTTTGTGTTGTCAACTTTGACAATTTTTCTTTATTTCCTACCCTTTTCAAATATATCTAATATATTATACATATTTGCAAAATTCCCTTGATATAAATATTCATATGAAATCAAGTGTAACCATGGAAATAATTTCAAAATTAAAACAAATGTCGAATAACATAGCGGTGAACGCCAATTAAAAAAAAAACCGTTTTGGGCGACAAAAGAGTCCTCGTGTGGAGAAAGTCATACTTGAACATATTCACGATCGGCATATTTCGCTATTAATTCGTATGCTTCTTTTTGGTTTTCCTTTTCAAATTCAGCTGGTTTTAGATTTCCTAAATATAAAAAACTTAATTCATCATTATCACTGTATTTTTGAGATTTTAATATCTTCTCCAGGTAAAGCATAGATCTATTAAACATTTTTTCTAGAACGTATTCAAAACTTTGCGAATTAGTCTCCAAGAGAAATTCTCCGTACATTCGCAGAGCACGTGCTTGTTGTGGGCAAGCGCCCAGTTCTTTGTGTGTTAATATGTGCTTTAACAATGATTCTGTTATTTCAATACTTCCGCATCGAAAAGAAATTTCTGCATCTTCAAGTAATAAATTAATCTGCAATAATTATTTTAATTTAGAAATATTGATTATTTGTTGTTAGTGTTTTTTAATGTCGTTATTTTGTTGAAATACCTACCTTAACGTATTCGTTTGTAATATCTGCTTCTCTAAGAGCTAATATATTACGTTTCGCCAAATTAATTTCACCCGATTTTTTGCATTCTTTAATGATATTTAGCAAACCAGTTTCGGTCGGGCTATACTATATTAAAATAAGTGTATAAAATAAAGTTATAAAAATTCATGTTCACATATGTATATACTTACTTTGAAAAAATCAATTATCCTTCTTTGCCCACGGACTCCTGCTGTATTAAACAGAGTTATCTGGTGCGACAGTATAAGTTCTTTGCAATAAAAGTTTCCATATTTTAGATTATTTTGCAATTGCCACTTTGAAAATATCGATTTAATATCTACATCAGAAATAAACTGGACCTATAATTTATAGTTATAATAGTCAGCAAATTTTGTCACCATACTTTTAATTAATGAAATGAAATTACTTGACAAAAATCCTCAGTCTGCTGAAGTATGTGCAACCATGTTAGATATTTGTAAACACTTTGTAGACATTCGGTGCTTATTCCCATCAAATTGTAAATTACGCATTGTCGAGCGTTTGCGATGGCCGCTAAACAATTGTGCTGTTCACGATTATATAGACATTTTAAAGCATTGAAGTGATGCTTCTTAAACTCCGATTCAGGATCATTTTCCACATTTACTTTCAAATGCCCTTCTACGGGAGTATCCCATTGACATAATCTCCAACATACTTCGTAGTCGACTGAATTTGCGGTGTCTTTATTGCCCAGATCATCGAGACATAAAATACCATTTCGTTTTAATGCTGTAGTACAAAGTGTATTAGACGATGTATTCTTAAATGAGTTTTGAAGTATCATTTCGGACCAGTCGTTGTTTAAATTAAGAAATTCCAAACGAGAATTTAAAGGCGAAAGAAACCCAGAAATGGCATCGTAACAACCAATGGATTTATAAGCCTAGAAATAAACAATTTATATTATAGTTGATCAATTATATTTTACATTATATTATTCGACTTATATTTTCACAACGTAATATTATTAATGAATATCACCTTTATTGCTACTTCCTGAAATGATGGATTTTTTAAATACTCCTCTACTTTGGACTGCTTCTCATTAGATGCAGTCTCTGACAATGCCCATAATTCAGTATACATAATTGTCATAAAGAATGCTTGGCAATGGTTACTAGCTTTAGCAACATACAGCAAATTCATTGGCACAGAACTGAAATTGGAAGACCCGATTTAAGAAAAAATGCTACAAAAATCCTTGAAATAATTTACCACTCATTATTTAAACGAATGCATTCACACATTTTTAGAAATATTTGTATTATTCGCTTGTCTTTATAAATCTCTTGAGCTCCAATCTGATCAGTTTCGATTTTTCCAAGAACCATATTCAATGTTTTGAAATAATGAGCGAGCATTGACATAATACTATCTATATGTCGCCCTTTATTGGACATTAAAAGCGTAATAAAAGGCAAAAGTATTTCATTCGCCACATACATATCTTTAGAAGCCAAGTTACAGAGTGCTGTCCAACCGCAGCTTTTAAGCACTTTACTAACAAACACACAGATCCATGTCTCATACTCTAGTGTCTCTGTCGAATTTAAAATACATAACCAATCCGCAGGTTCGATGACAAAACTTGGATCCCAATCTTGATTTGCCTTCTTATCGCTTTGAAAAATTGCCAAATATGGATACAGTTCTAGATTCACAATCATTTTAATTATCAACCTTGAAATGGAAAAGTTTCAACAGTTACGTACCTAAAATAGATTTTGCGCATTTCGAATCAATTAACTCAGTAGATACTCTAAACAATGCTTCGTAGGTAATTGTATTGAATTGCATCAATATTTTGTCCAATATTCTTGCAACGTTTATCGAAAAGAGTTCGTTACCATCCATTGAACTTGTGATCTAAAAAGGAATGAATATAAGGTAATTTAAACACACGTTAATTATTATTAATATACTTTTAATAAGATCAATTGCAAGAATGAAGTTAAAGTCATGTCACTTGACTAAATTACCTATAGAAATTGTGTCTTTCATTAAAATTTCAATTTCAAAAGCTGTATTGTAATCCTAAAATCTAAGCGTTATTCTATTAAGCATATGAGTCTACCGACAAAATCATTTTCTCTGCGTATACTTACGTTGTCATAAAAGGATGAATTCTTTTGAAAATAGAATGAAGTATTTGCTATTTCAAGGGAGCCAATTTCCCCAAGACATTTCGCTGCCTCCAGGCGTAAATATTTATTGTGAGCGTTACAGACTACTTCCAATAATCGACGGATCAAATCACAAAAAGTATGATCATTTGTGCTTATATTATCTTTAAATTTGGTTATCTAAAAAAAGTAAATATTATATCATTTAAAAAATACTACAAATAAAAATGTTTCGAAACTTGCATATTTTCTTAATGTTCCTAAAGTGTTGTTACTGCATTTTTGGATTAAAATTGAGGATTCCAAAATATCCAGCAAATCCCTAATATTTTTGGGAAAAGCGGATTTTTTGCTTTGGATTTCACATAGTTCCATAAAGCTCTCTGAAGCCGGTAGTTGAGTGAAAATCATAGTATTCTCGCCAAAATCGGTAATTAAATGATGTAATAATTTCAAAGATAATTTTGATTTTTCAAAGGAATCATTTTCAGCAATGGCTACCAAGCATTTTGTTATCACATTCAAGTGATTACTAATGACTTCTTTACCTCCACCAATTGTTATAAAAGACTTTCGGAAAAGCCATTGCAAAAAAAGAAGTCCCATCATTTGCAACTCCAGGTATTGAACTGCAATAAACAATTTAGTCTGTTATCAAAATATAAAATCTTCCTTTTACCTGTTTGAAAACATTGAGATAAAAATAAAATCGTATCACGAACAAAATACTCAGCAATATTTTTCCCTCTTGTCGAAGTAATATGTGTTGGAATCGAATCAATAATCATATCAACTGCTGTACAATATTTATAAAAGCAGGAGCTTCTCTCATTAGAAAATATACAAGCGGATACATCTGCTTTAAGAGCACCAATAACCTTTAAAAACTGAAGGGGATAACTACAAAGTGAAGAAAACCACGTTTTCGTTTCGTCTTCATCAATCTACAAGAAAAAAAAATTGTCAAAATGTACATACATATGTAAATAACTTTAGAGTTTAAAAGTAAGGAAGGCATAAGTTCTGGTGTAACCGAACATTATATACTCTCGCAATATACAAGGATCTAAGCCGAAGAAATTCTTTCAGGTAATTGATTATGACTGGATTTCAATCATATTTGATATACATATGAGGATAGCATTAACCAGAGAATAAGTCTACTAAAATAATATATGGAAACTGGACTATTTGTGAACCGATTTCAGAATTTTTTGGCATTAACTACAGTGTACCCAATATTAAATGTTCAATTAAATTAAGATATCATACATATTGATCGATATATACGGTAAAAAGTTAAGGGAACATAAAATCTCCTATATTAAGTATATTAGTTTTTGGCATCACGATCTACGATCAGATACAGATACTCCCGTATATACAGTACCCTGCCAACCCATTACAAACAGGGTAAACATATGTAAAAATTTACGAATAACATTCGTGGACAGTTTGCTAGGCGAAAAGTTTGATTTTTTTCCACTGCCTAAGCATTAAGTACTATTACTATACACCACATGTTACCATCAGTCAAATATTCAAAAAAAAAAAAAAAAATGTACCGTTGCAATTAGGGGGACTTAAATACGAAATTATATTGAAATATTTTCTTCACTTGGAGTTAGCATTTGTGATTTCTGACTCATCAGAGATAAATGTGGAAGGAATCGAATTTTTTTTATAAGTGTTTGACTTTTATTTCAGAGATTCCAGAGTTTTATGTATTAGGTATGTATTTTTTAAGTTTTCTGAAGCATTATAATATAAGCAATAAAAAATGTACTTTTTAGGAAATAGGTAAAAAATCGGACATTTCAAAGAAAACCCAAAGTGCTATTGCTGCACTTTTAAAAGATAAAAGTACATCCTACAGAAAAATAATAAAAAAAAAAATTAGAATGAGTGCAGTTACTGATCCTCGAGTACCGAAAATTGTGCACACATTCAAATATTGCACCGTTGGTCGCACAAGCGGCGGCAAAATGCTGCCCAAAATGGGGAAATATAATGAGGTTCACTCTGTAATTGCGCAACAAAACAGCTAAAGAAATTCAAAAGAAGCTAAATGAAATTTTGAACGCATCTTTTCAAAAAAAAAAAACTAAAAACCGCCGTACAGCAAAGAAATCAAAATTGACCAAGCAAAGAAGGGTCAAACTTCATCAGAACTAAACAAAGGTGGATTGAAACAAGGTAAACAAAAAGTTATGTAAGTCCCCTAAAAGTTCCCCATTCAAAGTTATTTAACATGACTTTCTCCTTAACAAAGATTAACTTTAGCGACGAAGGCCGGCTAGAAGCAGTGGCAGAAACCATTCAATTGGAGCGTCGTAGACTGCGTGAACGTTATGTAGAGAACTGCTTTCAAAAAACGGAAAAATATCCCCCCAACGTAATGGTTTTGGTCGGATATTGGTGGAAGGTCCTGGACCAATTTATTTTGTTGAGGGAACGATGACTAGTGAGCAATACACCAATGTACTTCAAGATGGTTTTGTACCTTATTTGGTATCATTGAACCCTTCAGCAGCTCAGAACACTTATACGCCTAGTGAAGTGCCTTGCCACACCTCCCGACGAATCGACAGATATCCTTCACAACTTGGATATCAATATATTACCTTAGGCGGGAAATTCAACCGACCTAAGCCTCACCGAAAACTGTTGAACGTTCCTTAAATCAAAGGTATATTCCCGAAAAAATCCCACAATAGCCCCACTCAAAGATAACATAAAGGATGTGTGCCTAAATGATCCAGATTTAAAAATAATGGTGATATTTCTTTAAATAGTATGCCTCAAATAGCGAAGGCTGTAAAACAAAGGTTGACAAACCTAATACTAAAAAAATTTAAGTTTTTCCTAATTTTATGAAAATATGATATTTCAAATAAATTATCAGAGGTGTTGTGGAACCCAAGACAGAATTGCTTAGCTGTCAGAATTGCAAACCAATTCTGATTTTCAATGGTGTCACAGAATCGGATCTTTGTCTTTTCGAACATATGCTACTGTTTACTAATGTGACAAAACTTGCAAATGAATACATTTGGAAGCAATCCTTTTACAGTTTTTAATGAGTTCCGAATTAAAGAAAGAATTTAAGAGATAAAATTTATTGAATGAATAAAGACGCATTTGGGTGTTAAATTTCGTTTTTCATTGTTTAAATGACTTAAGTATTTTTTTTCTTAATTGGCGGGCAGGATAGAAGAAAAACTGAACGTCATATGGAATTGGAGCAAAGTTTATTATCTTTGGCATTAAATTATCTTCTAATGAAACTAAAAGATATTTAAAATACATATTTAAAAGTAAAAATTTTTTAGACCAAAATATTTTTTTTTCAAATTTTAAAATATTTTATAATTTTACATTTTTTTCTCATTTTCAGTTTAATTTGAACATAAGTTCTTAAAGAATATGAATCTTTTTGAATTTTTTGTTTCGGAAAGAAATATCGACCTGCATCCTGCCCGCCGTCTGGCATGTGCACATGCGAGAAGCATCTGACAATTGCTTCCCAAAGGTAAAATGTAAAATATTTCGTATCAAAGAAATTTGCTGATGATGTTTAAATATATAACTATAAACCCTAGAAATTTCTCTTTAACCAATTATTTATTTTCCTGGAAAAAAACTCTAAAGCAGGTACTCCCTCTTAAACATCCGCATTTTTTTCCAAAACTCAGTAATTAAGACATTTCTTGTTTTATTCTTACGTATTTTCCTATAGAAATAAAGGTAAATTAATTCGTAACAATAAAATAACTTCATTTCTTAACTTACATTTCAAATCTGTGTGCGACTATCTTCTTGATTTGTTTCTGACAGCAAAACCGATGAAATTGGTATCCGTGACACCCAAACCCAATACAAATTCTGTTTCGAATATCAATCCAATAATATCTGAATTCATGACACCTACTGCTTTTTTTGATCGGTTTCAATTCTGATTCCGACAACTATCAGATTCCACAATACCCCTGGTTATAAAAAAAAATTGCATTCCCATATCCTAATAACTTTTGGTTTATTTGACTCTGAACGCAAAACTATAACAATGATTGTCCCGGTTTCAAATGGGTTGGCTGGTTACTGTAGTATTATTCACCAGATTTCGTTAACATGTCGCGCCAATCGTTCTACTACACCGATTCCTAAGAAGGCCCTCCGTACTATGCTTTATGTGAAATTTAATGCTTCTCACATATTTATTTAGTGAATTATAGCTCTTTAAGTAGTTTAAACATAATCGTTATATAGGGAATGAGCATGACCATCACCTAATTTTATCCGTTTTCGCCCAAATTGCGAGTATAAATGTTTGGATGCACAGGAACCGGGAGCTTTCTTCTTAATATCTATTCTTTTTTACTATGAGCTTGACTTACCAAATATAATTTTAAAGATTGTTTAAGAGATTCGTAATTTAAGTGATACCAAGATGATGTGCCATATAACGTTGGAAACTCAAAAGATGCCGCAGAGAGATTATCAACTTTTAAAATGCTACAGCAAAAATATATTGGTTTCCAATGAATAATTCTTGACGGTGGTAATTTCCACCCCAATCGCTGCATATTTCCATTTAACACGTTGATATATTTCCTGTAGCTTTGGGTTTGAGACTCCGGACATAACGCCTTATGCGGCAACATGTATGCCTCTAAAATTGGAAGTGCATTCTGGAAATTTATCAATAAATAAAAATATTAACCCTCATTCTTTTATTTCCCTATAACATTAATTGTTATTTTAAAGTTAGGTTACCATACCAAAGTTTTAAGGTTCTACTTATTATCACTTTAAATTTGGTATAATTATATATTCCATATACCCATATATTTTAATACAAGACATATATTATTATATCAAATACCTTTATAAGTTCCTCGTCAGTTGCGTATTTATTTAGTTTTTTTAAATCTCCATTGGGAATATATAGTAGCATACATGCCGAAATTATTGAAATATTATCCATCATGAATTCATCTTTGTTTGAATAACAAAGGAAATACGGAAATCTAAGGAAAATTTTATAAGAATATACATATGTATGGATCGAAAATAAATATACCAATAAAAATTTACTTTGAAATAGGCCATTCTTTAGATATCCATGATGAGATTAAACTATTCATATAAGGTTTTATTAACTGGGCCTGCGAACATCCGAAAAAATAAGAAACCTGTACAAACTCGTCGAAGTCCGCTAAAATTTTATATTATGAAATAGAGAAGAATTATGCATTAACTGTATCTGTAGAACCAAATAGATACACATACATACCTTCCGTTAATTTCCTTGCGGCATAGAAGTTCCCCAATTCAATTAACGCATTTTTCTGGTAATATGAACTGAAAGCAAATAGAGCCACTAAGAGTTGCGTCACTACTGAGTTACGATTTTGTGCCAGATCTGTTGACGTGTCCTATAATATAAAACTATACATAAATAATCGGGGTATTTGATCATCAAACACATTTTTGTATCACACGTACTAATAAAAGTTTCCAATTTATTGCAGAAAACAACTGTTCACACATATTATAGTGCTCATTAATATGAAATGTTGTGGATGAACTTTTCAGCCAACCAGTATCCATTAATGAGGTTATCGTGCGAATCAATGCGAACTGAATTCGAAGCGACGGGAAAGATAAAAACTTCATCAAAGATATGCAAATGCAAATGAAACCATCCTTCATCCAAATCCCTTCACAATTTCGTGAAATCAGGCGAACACTGTCTATTAAATTGCTTGTTATTTTTTCGGGATAATTTTTTTTATATGCTATTTTCAATAATGATGTTAATGCCACGAACATGTTATCCAATAATTCATTGATTGCGTAGACATATTCGAAAATCTCTAAGATTCATTAAAATATGTCATCTAGATGTGTATAAGAGACAGTTAGTGTACCTGGAAGCATGGCAACTAATCTCCCGATGATTTTAAGATCCATATAATATAATCTAAAAATTAATTTTAATTTATCTACGAACCATTCGCCAATAGGTAAGTTTTCTGCTACATTGCCGCTTTTCCTCTTACAAAATATCTAAAAATCGACAATAGTTAACATATAATTAATATTTTGTTTGTATTATTTATGTAAGTATATATGTGTGTATGCTCATATAATTAAGGTTTTACATAGCACTAGACAAAGGTACCTATAAAAGTGATCTTATTATGGAAAAAGTAAACGGAAAAATTATTTGATTAAGACTCTTCATTGTAACATATTCATTCACAAGTTTTCATATATTTGCATGTATGTACATATATAAAAATTAATTTTAAATGAATTTAGCATGTGTATTAAAAAGCATAATTTTTGGCTAATATCAACCCCCAACGTCGTTTCTTTAGTTATAGAGCTGGAAAGAATAATATTAAATATATTTCATATCAAATGTATGTAAAATCAAATATAATAATTTTTATTATAAACATAAAACCTATTGAATTTTATATTTAAGAAACCACTCTAAAATTTAGAACAAATATCAACAATATTTAATAAAGGACTGTCAACTTGGCTCTATTCCTCGAAATTACTTTTGAATGTTTCTGGCCTGGATGGAGTTATATATTCATAAAGAACAAGTCATGTTGAATTACGTCCGCACAAGCGAGAGCTTTAGTTAAAATGGGAAATTTTTGTATTTCTGAGGGTACTGTAGCTTTCCATATTTTATCTTTTTGTTTCCTACAAAAATTTTTTTCCACCAAAAAATTGTTATGTTGAAAAATTGAATTGAAACCGATAGAAAAGTTGACCTGTGTTATTTAAATGGGATATTGAATTTTTGAAAGAGCTAAGCTGCTATTGCATTTAGCAACTCAAACATTTAATTTTTAATAAAGTAAAAATATCCCATAAAACACCTATGTATATTTCATAATGAATTTAATTTTAGATGAAATAATGTGCTTATAATATAGATATATTTGGATTTTTATGGGGTTTTTATGGCATTTTTAGTTAATGGAATCTACTAAAGGTTCATATGCTCTGAAGCAGCTTTAATTTGTCATATTATTTTTTCTACATTGTATGTTTCCAGCCGTCAACGACACTTTGCACACAAATCACGTTGCAGTTTAGTCCTACTTCCATTGAAAGTTTTAAAATCCTTCTTTAGATAATCATGTCAATTTTCAAACACAAAACTTATATTTTCTTTATACTTTTTCTATTATAAGATCAATTTTTAATAAAAATAATCCAGTAATTTATATAATGTACATATATGTCGGGGACAATGTTCGTAGATGATTCCATTTTTTATGGATGTGCATTAAAAAGTAAAATTAAAAATTAATTGTTATAAAAAATTAGTTTATGTGGTAATTAATTAATTGATTTAACAAGGGAAAAATATTACTTTGCTTATAAAATAGCCGTAAAACGCTAACTGGTTGCTGTGCCAGCATTGATGTGCGGCACAGTATTTAGTTTAAAATGTTTCGGCCATTAACTTAGGTCATTTTAATAAAAACGAATATGATTTATATCGATTTATCGAACTTATCAACCAAAAGTTACAGGTATTTAGAGGCTTTAAAAATCTTTTTTTTTTTTTTTTGAGAAGTTGTTTGCGTTCTTTGGGAGAGAAAGAAATAATTTATTAAAGTGAAATTTTTAGGGTTTATAGTTATATATTTAAACATTATGCCCCTTAAAGCGAAGCAACCAATTTTGACAATTTTAATAAATTTCGTTCCCACGACACGGAACGAAATGGCCAATGTTTGTAAACAGTATTCTATATTAATAAATTATGCAACTTCACATAATCTTTGCAACTCGGTGGCCTTCCGCCATCATCGGCGTCGCGACAAATTATGTCTCAATTATTATGATATTGATTGCCAAAATTATTTTAATTGTTTTTGATTTTGTTAATATGTGAACTAAATGTGGTGTTTCTATTTTTCATCAACGTTTACAATTCGTTTAAAAGCTTTTCAAAASACAAAATATTGAAATTACAATCGACATTGTATATAATTAATTAATATGTATATACATACTTTTATCAGTGGAAGAAGAATGTCTAAATCATGGCGAATATTGAAAACATATCGTGATATATGATGAAACGCATCTTTTTGGTAAGTGTTACTGGCACATAGTTCAGCCAGAATACGAAGCGATATTAAGCGAATTTCCGCCCAGTCCCTGGCCTTACTTTGTAAATGTTGGGAAGCTACAAAGTTATAGAATTTTTATTGACAATAATTGCCAAACTTTTATTTTATTAAATTTACCGCTATGTGACAAACTTGTTCCTAAAAAGTTTATCAACTCCTCCAATGGTTGCGCTTCCAAAAACTGAGTTAGTGCCACACTGGATGTAAAAGTTGTTATAAATGATTCCAAATACTGCAAAATTTCTAATAATTCTGTTCGCTCTATATTTCTGGGATCATTACTTTTTAGTTGAAACTGTGGAAGAAATATTAGTAAACATTTTAAAATGTAAGTAAGTATTTTAGAACATTATAAGTGAGAAAGTATACCTCCATATGACTAAGATAAAATCCAATGCGTTTTATTAGCGGGCACTGCACTAAATTTTGATTAGTAAATACTCCATAATGCAGGAATGTTTTCATTAGATCTGCCAATTTATTTAGTGATGTCATATCCGAAACGATACTAACACAAGTCGTTTGTTTTGAAATTTCTATATTGAGAGTACGCATCAGCAGCTCATAAGTATTCTGAAATAGGCAATTTCCGAGTTCTTTTGAAGAAACGGCATCTGCATCGGTCGCATTTTGGCTTGATTTTAGGGGTCTACCATGTTCCTCCAAGCACACAAATTTCATATTGTATTTGTATTGGAGCATGTTTAAATTAGTAAAATTCATTTGATTTTCAACTTCGCATGTTTTTGGAAATATTTGATTTTCATTTAAGAAATTTATGACCGCAATAGCGCATGTATCATTTATAAGGGTAATATCGACGGGAGAAATATTTAAAAGCATACTTCTAGCATTTATTTTCTCGTTTACTTCATAAGCCCATATTACAATTTTTTCAACAATGTTGGAATTTTTATCTATACCACAAATATCTGAATGTATTAAAATTTGACGAATGGTTTCAAATGCTTCAGATCGCCTTAAAATACTATTACTAATAATAGATTGAATCAGATTGTTACTTGATTCGAATGAGAGTTTTCCGCATTTTATTAATTCTTGTAACAATATTTGTTTCTCTGTTATAATATCATTATTTTCGGAGGACTCAGATATTAAGACATTTGTTATTTTTTTCCATGTTCCCTCACTATAACTTATGTAGATTTTGTCGTTAATTGACGACATATAGTCTTCGAATTTTAAGATTGCTATCAGACTACGTCGTATACTACGCCAAATCACCGCATTTGCTGAAATATTTAACACGTTTGAAATAAATTGAAGCAGTTCTTGGTAATTTGATATGTTTATAACATTTCTTTGATTACTAAGGAGGGCAGCCATTATTGCAAACCTGAAATTTTTTAAATGTGAGTAATTTATTTAGTTGTTTGATAATCTAATTGAATAATATAAAAAATTTAGAAAGTAAAGTGAGAGATACAAAGTTTTTGGTTAAAATCTCATCCAGATTCACATCTAAATAAATGAACTGTGTTTTATATCCTTATAACATGTTAGAATCGAATTGGAAGGTTATACTAACTATTTAAAACATAAGTAATTCTAAATCTAGCAATATAAAAGTGTTATACATACAATATACATATGTATATTCAGCGACAGCGACCTAAGGAATCACGATCATTCGTGATACTACAAAATACTGATAGAATAGATACTGCAAGAGTAGTCAAAATTTGATTCCCGTCCTAAAAGGAGGAAAACGTGACGTGTGCAAACCTTAATCGCTTATTTTCTCTAATTTTGACTTTTTTCTTTTCTTAAAACCCTTTTAATTATTTCTTTTAAATTATTTTTTTAATGACCTGTTTTCATATTTGCAATCAATCCAACTTAGACATTTAGTTCTACAAACATGAACTGATTTGATTTCTGCCGACGAGAGGCTTAATAAAACTGTACATACAAACAAAATAAGGATACTTTCATATATTTGACATGCAATACGTACCAAGTTTCATTAATAGTATTGTCATTCTGAATAAGCCGCAACACAATATCTAAATTGTCCGAAACTTTTGAGACTTTTTTCAAAGGTTCATCCAACTTCGCAAGGTCGGCATTAGAATTAATATGCCAAAATATCTAAGAATACAAGAACAAAGTTAAACAAGCTTAAATTATTATACATAAAACATACCACATATACAATATCACTGGCCATTTCAATGAAGTTCTCCATATATTTTTCACGCCCACATTGATTTGCCCTTTGAATCGTTGCCCTTCTTTCTCTAATTTCCAATTCCACTATAGATTTTAATTTGTTCAGAGTCTTCGGCCAACTATCTTTAATGTTAATTTTCAACGTTTTAAAACTGCCATTATTAATATTTGGGTATATAGCATGTACAGATAAGTATACTGATACGCAAAATTTTTCCTAAAAACCAAAATATAAATAAGTGGACATATTAACAATTATAAAGATTGCGATAATTATAATCATTTACTTTAACTTCTGGCTTCAACTGTAAATTATACATATCACACAAAACTGGTAATACATCCTGTAGGGACTCGCAAATCGTATGATGATAATCTATAGATAACTGAGGAATAATTGGACAACAAAATAGCAATTCGAAAAAATTTATCGAAATGTTTTTAATTACCTGTGAAATAAAAAAATAATACAATTTGATAACATCTGACTTTTTGCGATCATCGTTGGCTTTTCGGGCAAAAGGCATTATTTCTGGAAAGTAATCTACAATTTCGTCTTGTATATGTACATGTTGAACTGCTAATTCTATAGTTTTAACTATGCAGGAGAGTACTTCAAAATGAAGAATCTCATCACCAGGAATTGTTATTTCAAACAAATTGGAAAGAATATCTGATGTAAGGAATATTAACATTTGTAAGGTCTATAAGATAATTCACTTACTGCTATATTCATCAATTTTCAATTCGCGAACATATAAAGGACATTTATATATTCCACGTTCCACAATCTGAATGAACAAGCTACCAAAAATTTTTACTGCACTTGTAGTGCTAAATCCACTACAAAATGCATGGTAGATTAAAGATTTTGTTAGAAAGTTATTTTCATCTATAAAAAATAAAACAATATTCATTAATTTAAGAATTATTGTAATATAAATATAAAAAACTTACTTTCCAAATTGTAATCAATTATTTTATGAATAACTGAACGATATATATGATTTTTGTTGAGCATAGCTTGAATGCTTTTTTGGTCTGTTAACTCCACAACTTTAGAAGCATGCTAAAAAAAACTATGAAATTAATGCTGTATGAGTACGTCTATACAAACCTTCAGAACAGCATCAATAGCACTGGAAAATATTTCATTCAAAGTAAAGTCTTCCATATGTTTACCACGGAGTCTTTGGATCAGGTCATCCTTAGAATTCACCAAAATTATCTCCAAGCGTTCCATTGCTTTGTTTCTAGTAGCTGTTTTATCAGAACGTAGTTCTGGACATAACGCCGCTATTTGTTGCAGTTGAGAGGACATATTTGTTTTACAAAGCTATGTCGAATTGTCTCTAACAAATTTATAGTTTTTTAAAATTTCCAAGATTCCTTGTAGCAATTCGCGCCTGTTTAAAAATAAGTGAATAACGAAAGTAACATCTGATATAAAAGCTTCATCCTTCTCAAAGCACAAGAAACGTTACCAGATTATGGTTTGCGCAACGAAATATATGAAACGGGGTAAATGCTGGGTTTTCTTATGCCGAATCAAAACGGGTACGTTTATTTCGTAACGGAGAAGTATGCAACTGACAACTGAGTTAAATGTATGATTATAACTGAGGCAATTCAAATGCCAAAAGGCAAAAGTATAATAGAATACCAAAATCTATTGGGCAAACAAAAATCTTAGAATTATGTAGCGCAATAATTGGCGGTTGTAAATAACAGCTGATCTATGTTTACTTACGCAACGCTTTGTTGTAGCGTAATTTTACGTTACGTAGTCCACTTCATTCCCATACTTTTCCGTACTTGACGTTAAAGTAGCCCTCAAGCTGACGACAAGCGACAGGCGGCATTTGACAAACGTTAATTATACACGATCTATGGGGACAGTTATTTAGACCACAGCACGATTGCACTACAGTAGGATTGCCACGTCTTCTATTTTAATTTTTTTTTAAGAATATAATAGTAATACCAAAAATTAATAACATTTTAATAACGAAAGTATTTTTTCGTTGCATAAATTTGTATGCAATATGTACATATATATTATATTTATATAGGGTTTTTTAACCCTATTATACTTAATAGGGCTCTACAAAACTACCGATAGGGATAACAAATGACGTAATATTTTTTCTCGCTCTTTTCACATTTCTCTTTAGTAAAGTTTGCAATTTAATCGAGGAAGAATATACGATCCAAAAACGTTAACATTTTCTACAGAAATTCGGAGTCAGTGACCTCAACTTTAAGACATACATATGTATATATGTTATAAATTACCTATTCAATCAAATTCACAGTGAAGAGAAGTACGCAATTCCAAATTTTATTATATAAAAATATCAAAAGTTTGAATTTTTCTTTTCAAAAGAGATGAACTTGCAAAATTCTGTTCTGTCTGTTTGCTGAAATATATACTTTAATGATTTAAACCTTAAGCATTTTGCAAAAGATTTTGTGCAAATATTAATATAAATTTATCAGTAGCAAATCAAAGTATTTATTTTTATAGCGGGATCCTGTAATAAGTCTCTAGTCTCTATTTGAGACATTTTGTGGTAAAATCTCAATTTGTGACTAGTTACTATTCACTAAATAGTCTCTAGCTTTAGTCTCAAATATTGCCTCAAATTTGAGACCTGGTAGTTAGCAAGTCACAAAACCATATTTTGTAAGCAACTCAAACACGAAAAAGTTAAAAATAAATAAATTTTACATAAATTTCGTTAATATTATGAAACAAAGTGAACATATATTTATGTTTTTACTGATAATTATGTTTTTTGACTATGTTATAGAAAATTTAATATTTGTTATCGACATATTTATTTCCTTTCAAGTATAAAAACATCTCTGAATAATGAAATGTAATAGAGTTTGTGACTATCACTTACAGAATAGCAAAATCGTCTCAAGTCTCAAAAATTGTCTCTGTCAAATTTCAAATACAGTACAGTACAGAATCGCATGGTAAATGTTCGTAATTTAATCTTACGAATATATTTAACAATTTAATTTTTTTTTAATATCAAATGCCAAAATTTTATATTACATTAGGCAAGCAAAATGTAAAACTTGTTAACACAATAGGGGTATTTTCTTGCTCTTGCACGATTGCAGATTGCAAAAATACTATACCGAAATAAACAGGGGACGAGGGCAGCATGCAGTGCAGAATATAGTGGTATATGAACGGCTGATTCGATCAATTTATTGTGAATGACTATTATGCTAGGCTATTGTGAATTGGCGCAAATTCTGCATACATTTTTAACAAAAAAACTGTAAAAAATCTTATAATTTAAGTAGAAATTATAAAATCTATTTAAAACTTACCTTCCTAAACAATTTAACGACGTAAAGGTTGGCATCCAGCTCTCAAGTAATTGCTCAAGAAAAAAATACATTATGTGGGGAACACAATGCTCGCGACAGTCTGCAAACGACATCTGTCAAATATTAAAATACACACGTTCTTATGGACGGACCTATTTTGACAGCTGCACGACTACACGACGGCAGGCCGACAGTTGTCGTTCTCGCTAACTTCAATTTTATCCTATATTTGCCAACGACAGTATGACGACAGTAGAATGAGAGATGAGGTAGAGTGGTGATGCCACTTATATGTAAAATGTAAGATTACTCAGAGCTCTAACAAACCCGACGTTATTTTACACATAAAAGCATAAAATTGCTCTGTTACATCATTTACAATAACAATTGATAATTTAAAAGAAATAAATTTACTCATTTATTTATATTTTGCTTAAAAATTTCATTTTTTTTCACTTACATGCAAAATTCACAACTGCGTTGTTTTGTGTACATGCCGGCCATTCGCCAAGTATTAAAAAAAAAAGAACTAGATTACTTTAGAGCTGTATACTAGCACAAGTAAATTTATCGCAGGAAAGTTTCTTGATCGTTTCTTAAGCTTTTTTTATATATGAAGTTTTTACATTTCTTGAGAGCTGCTAACTAAGCTTAATATGTCTTCATGTAAAACAGGGTTGTAATTAAATTTTTGGTTGACATTGCGCGCAAATATACATTGCTTGTGGTCTGACATATTTTACAGCCGTTGCAATTAATTCTGCGTGTGTTTGTTGTTGTGCCGGTGCATCATGAGGAAATATATGCAATTCTTGCACCGTGCAAGGGTTTTCCAAGAGCAAGTGAATACCCCTAATAGGAAATAATTTCACCCTACCATTACATAGAGGAACCGGCTTGGTACACGGCCTAAGGCTTAACTTTTTACACCTTATCGATAAATTATATTTGTAATTGAGTTTCTCGATAAACTTGAATATTAGCAAATCGCTTTTCGTAAATGTGTAGCATAGCATATGCTTATTGATAAACGTGTGGAGTGTTTATTACCGGTGTTTTGTTGTACTGAGAAGTATATATAAAATTTAGTCATGTCAGCTGCTATGCCAATTAATCCAAAACCATTTCTAAATGGTTTGACTGGTAAAGCGGTCATAATAAAATTAAAATGGGGTCACGAATATAAAGGATATTTGGTTTCCGTAGATGGCTACATGAATATGCAGTTGGCCAATACCGAAGAACATACCGCGGATGGTCAAGTGACAGGTAATAATTTCTTAAAACAAGCGTTTCGAACTTTTACTGAATCGGAACGGTCTAACAACTATGTAGGGTACCTCAAGATTATTTGAAAAGTTTCTATCCCAGAGTAATGAATACATATACCAAATGTGTATATTGTAATATTTAATCTCGGATCTGTGTTTGAAAATTTTAAGCTGTTAATTTGCTTGAGTAAATTTTAGAATAGCATCCCCGGTTTTAGGGGTTAAAATGGGTATGTATGGATAGAGGAGGTTCTCTAGATTAAGAAAATATATATATACATATAGTTGCCGCTGATTTATGGTTTTTGAGATATGTGCATTTAAAGTTAAAAAATTCAGCTATTTAAAATGCTTGTGTTTCTTATTTATAAAGAATTTTATGGTTATATATTTAACTTTTATGTCCACTAACACTTCACTAAATCGATTCTAACCATTTATTTTATATTAAATAGAGCAAAAATAACTTTTATTCAACATTTAACTTTTGTTCGTTTATTTTTGTTTGTACATTAACAAAAGGGTTGCATTCTAACTAATAATCCGTGCTACCTTACGTTCATATTTTACAGAGCGCCCAAAAGAAATAAAGAAAGCAAATAATACCCCAATGACAGGAAATATATAACATATTAGTTATTAGAATTCCTTTCTGCTTTGGCGGCCTTCAGCCGCGCTTCAAAAAAATAACCCACGGTTGGACCAACACCTGGGCGTGCTCAGTTTTTTTGCGTTGAACTTCTTTTTGCCCGCTCTAACACCGGGATTTATCAAGATAATGAGAATTCTGAAAGATTTTACATTACTCATCACACGATAATGAATTTAGTTATGACGTCATTATCTTTTTTTTCTTATTTCTATTCCTTTACAAAATACGCTAACACTAATTTTTTGCTTGTTTACAACCACTTTCTTATTTTATGAATAAATGGATTTTAACTAAAGTTTGATATGGAATTAAAGTTATTTTTGCACTATTTAATATAAAATAAATTATTAGAAACGAAATAGGGCACAATTCCGATTTCTTTGGCGCCGCGATYTGAAGGTACCGTTGGAAAGAGGAAGTCTTTCTGATTAAAAAAAGGGTTATAGGTACCGCAAACGCTTAGTTTAGGAGATATTCGACCTYAAAGTTCAAAAATTCGCAAAATTCGTACATTTCAAGACGCTATTTCACCACATTAAACACACTTTATTCACGTTTTTCACTTCAAATGAATTAAATTACTCTATAAACTTGTAAATAACTCCATATCTTACACTTTTAGCAGGTTTTTTTTCCTAAAAAATCTGCATTTTAAAAATTACATTTTACACTCGTTTTAACCCCATTTGTTTACCAAAAGTTACGATGAAATGGAGCGCTGCCATGTGATGATAAGGCAATTCGCTGAAATTCCTCTTTTTCGCAAAAATTCCTCTATTCATGCATATGGATATTTTCTTTTTTATTTTAATATGAGTGCATGGTAACCAACAAATATTACCACTTTATATCCGAAACTCATATTTTAAATATAAAAATTGATGTATCGTCACCTAAAATACAAAACAATGTATAATCAACAATAAATGGAAATCGCTGTCAGATATAATAACTACATTTTATCCATTTTATAGCGAAAATTAAAATTTTATTTCAATATGAGTGCATGGTAACCTACAAATATAACCACTTTAACCACTTTATAACAAAAACTCAATATATTTTTTTATTTTTAACGCAGAAAGGAGTACTCCGCGAAAGTACTTCAGTCATCCCGACATGATATTATATAAATTTTATAATACTATATTATCATAGAGTTTTAATTATATGTGTTTATTAAATATAAATCACATATTATACATATATGTACATATATATGTAAAATGTATAATATGTGGAAAAAGTTTTCACAACTCATTTATAACTTAAAAAATGTTAGAAAGTATTTTTTAATATAATTAATGTAGAAAAAATAAAGAAAAATCGTTAAGAATCCTACATATTTGGTGTTTAAGATGTGGCAACGCTCGTTTTCCTCATAATTGTAAACAATCTAACCTTTGCAAAGCCGAGTTCGCTAAGTGATTTTTAAATTAATAAATTTAGCGGAAATATTACAAAGTAAATTGAAATGTGAACTTATTTCAATAAAGAGAATGTTTATTTAAATATACAAAGTGAAAAATGTGACTAAATTTAATGGCAGATAGAGAAATACCTTGTGTTATTAGTTCATATTTTTGAACTTTTAATCGTGAATATTTTAAAAAATATAAGTAATTTTTATATTATTTTTTAATATTCTTCCTCTGGAGAAGCTCCCCTATCCGGACATACCCCATTTATACGGAAATTCGGTTTTTTTTACCCCTCCGCCAAAGTAATCGGAATCGTGCCCGAAATAGTGTAGTGTTAGTGGATATAAAAATAAAAAATATAAGTGTAAAAAGCATTACAAATTGGAGAAACACGCATTTTAAAAAGTTGATTTTTTTAATTTTAAATGCAAATATCTCAAAAACCATAAGTCAGCGGCAATTTATATATATTCTTGATCTGGAAGACCTCCTCTATCCGTACGTACCCATTTTAACGCCGAAATCCGGGGATGCTATTCTAAATCGCAGCTATTTCCTTAAATAATTTGTTGCAATTTTATGACTGCAGTTTTATAGACTTGATCATTACGCGAAGCATTTTTTCAACTTAAAAACGACAAATTATTTTAATTGTAAAACTAGCTATGCACTGAAATGAATGCTTTATTTTTTAATGATACTTATTCTTTACTGGCGTAGACACCGCTTACCGAGTTAACAACCTTTCTTCCTTTGGCTACGTGAATCCAATTGGAGATTACAAGCAAAGCTAGGTCCAAGCCAGCGTATGCGCTGCCTTTTAATTTGGTGAACTTTGCCAATGTCGTCTTATATCTCATACAGCTCATCATTTCATCGAATGCGATATTCGCCGTCTACAACGCGCAAAGGAGCACAAATCTTTCGCCTCATATCTCTGCAACGTATAGCAAGACGGGAATAATGAGTGACTTATAGAAGTAGCACCTGTTGGCAAGAGTTATTCTGAAATTATCTACGACTTCAAGGTTGTGACTGTCAACAGTGATTTGAGAGCCAAGGGAGACACCTTGCCTAAAACCTCGTTTGGTATCGAATGGTTCGGAGAGCTTCTTCCCGTCCTGACGCAGCTTTTGGTATTGTTCAACGTCAGCTTACACAACCGTATTAGTTTTGCGAGGATACCRAATTCRGACATCGCRKCATAAARGCAATTCCTTTTCGTGCTGTCAAAAGCAGCTTTGAAATCGAAGGAGAAGGTGATGTGTGTCGATTCTCTTTTCACGGGTCTTTTCCAAAATTTGGAGCATGGTGCATAACTGGTCGGTTGTTGATTTTCCAAGTCCACACTGATAAGATCCAATCAGTTTGTTGACGGTGGGCTTTAATCTTTCACACAATACCTTACATGCGATGTTGAGGAGACTTATCCCACGGCGGTTGGCGCATTTGTGGTGTCTCCCTTTTTGTGGATTGGGCAGATCACAAGAGTATGCTCCTGTCTTGAAACCTTCTGTTAGTCGCCGCATTTTTTCGAGCATTACCCTGGTCGGCCAGCATTCATTTTCTTCTCACTCATGCATTTTGTCCTCGTATCTTTTTCAGTCTGCAAATGCGTCTCGCTGCCCTCTTCAACGCACGGGATGGGTGTATTCGATCGTAACGTTGCGAGGTAAGCAGTCTGTTTTCTCTCCGCTGCTACACGGCACTCTTGGTCGTACTAGCTGTTCTTTTGCTTTTTCCGAAAACCAATGGTTTCGGTTGCAGCTAAACGTACGGAGCTTAAAATTTGTTTACTAAAATACCAAAAGTAAATGTATGTATATATCCACATTGCTTTTGAAAATAGAATAGCCGCAATAGAAAGTATGAAAAAAGTTAGAGAAAATATCCAAAAGTTCCACAAAAAAGTTGTTACTTCAGAATTGTTCTAAGGAAAAAGAAGTTTTAGAATATGTACATATGTATATAATAAACTATTCAATTTTTTGTTTTCTATTTTTATAATTACATGAAACACTTATTAAAGTATACATATATGCATATTAATGCAGATTATAATTTTTTATTGCAGGAAATCTAGGGGAAGTTCTTATACGTTGTAATAACGTATTATATATAAAAGGCGTAGACGATGAGGATGAGGAGGGTGAAATGAGAGATTAAAGTTACATATGGAAAAAAGTGGAAATCAGAAGATCGTTGATAATCTTTCAGCAGGTTTTTAGAATTAAGTTATGTAGTCTGAATATAATTAAAATTTGTATTAGAATTTTAATAAAATGTTAAAACATATATACTTAAAATTTCTTTTATTATACGCTTTTAGGGATTTTAAATCTTAAAAGAGTATTTCTTATGGTAAGTTCTCGTACAAAAAAAGTAGTTATATGTAATAAATAAATTGAATGGTGGCATCTTGTTACCTGTTAAGACTTTTGACATATACCCTATGCAATGCAGCCAATGTATCTTGAGCAACTCTTATCCCGCTGCTAATTGTTCTGTTTTCCGGCTCGTCTTCAGACAAGATGTGTCGTTTCCTAAACAAATCATTCTCATATAATTTAATTGTAACGGACTACAGAGTATGAAATTCTTGTATTATTGATTCAGATGTACATTTAAAGAATTTGTGGTGTTATACATAAGCCAATCTTTGAAAACTTTAGCTACATATGTATATGCTTCGTGTCGTTGTCTTGATGAAATACCTATGGTGCCTCACTTATGCTAATTGTTGAAACAAGATTTTGTGGAAGCAGTTTTGTGTTCTTCAGAACTTACCACGGCTTTATGTGCTAAATATGTATAACTTATTTTTGTTACTAAACATACTACTGTTCCAGCGCACTATATAGCGGAGACACGGTTCTACTTCATTTTTGAGAAAAACTGGTATTTTAACAGCACTACTCTTCGGCGTTTTCTTAACTGCTCGTACAATATTATGAACTTAGGTGTCACTTACAGAGGCAACCATAATGTTAGCAGCTTTTGTATCACATCGCAATTCAAAATTTTTTATATTTTTAGACAATTTAGGCTATTTAACCTAAGTTTTACCATTTTTAACACGCGGGATCAGATCACTGCCACGCCCACAAAAGGCCATTCATTGAAAACTTGTAAAATGTCGCAACTAAGTACTAAATTTATACCTAAGACTGTAAATTGGTAAAATGGATAGCACCTGTAGGCAATCAATTTTGAAAAAATGGGCGTGTTCCTGCTTAATAGGTTTAATGTACATATCTACTAAACAATTAAAGCTAAAATAACCGAATTCACATAGGACAAATTTTATGAGAACTGCAGTTGACAGTGTGGCAATGGATAAAGTCGAACAGAAATCAAGCATCAAAGAATATATTCGGATAAGACTATGAACAAATAGTACCTTTGAAGTACAAGTATGCCATAACTGTCCGAATATTTGAAACGCAGTGAATTTAGTTGACTTTTGCCAAAAAGATCGGCCAATTTGTGAGATTACTATATTATTGAAATTCGGATAAAATGTTTCTTATAACCCTTCGTTGCATAGCATTGCATATACATATGTGCTGCATGATATTGCATATGTGCAATGTTACGTAACTCTGTTGCTAGAAACACGACAATCATAAAATTGCAAATTTGTCATCTTATAATAGCCCACATTAAAAATCTCACGGAAATTAAATCATGCAACGAAGGGATAATAATAATAAAATTGTGTCAAAAATGGGTTGAATCTGGATCCATATAATAATAAAAAGATTTTCGAACTTCCTGTTCACTTTATACCACATGTATACCTAAAATTCATAAAATCAGTCGAAAACTCGCCTTGGCCCCATTGAACTGAATCCCGCTGAATTCACTTCATTAATATGAATATAGGAGGATGGAGTCATGTGTAGAAGTTCAACGCAAGTGAGGAAAATTCTCTGATTGCCATTCACTTGGGAGTGGCCAGATACGATTATTTAAGACTCGTGGCTCAAGCAGCTCACAACTTCCGATATTAGACCAAGTTTCCTCTGGGTAGCCAAAGAACATTCGTTTGAAGGCGAGTTAAAGTGAGAAGGCGTCTCGGAAGCCTCGGAAGGGAATTTAAAACCGTATAAGCGGTGTTTGCGCCAGTGAAGAAAAATTACATGAAAATAAGTTCTCAAGTATACCTGAGAAATTTCGAATTAATCTTCTCCTGCCTATGTAAATAAAACCTATATAATGATTTCCGGCTTTCTATCTGACTTTAAACAGTTTAGGTTGGTCAAAATGTGTGATAATTTAATGCAGTTAAGCCGACGAGTTTTCTTAAAGAAAAAAGTTATAGATATGTATGTATATCTAAAAGCTTCTTGAAAACGCGAACAAACTTCAGTTTCCAGATTTCTAAAACGATAATATATGTACATACAAACTTATAGATTCTTTAATTCTCTACCAGTGAATTACATCATGAAAGTCAAATCTACCACCCAACGAGAAAGAAGAGCTTGAGTGGTTTCAACTAAAGTTACGTTTTAGATGAGGTCTAAACTCCTTCAATCCAGACTTTTTATACTCCTGCAACATGTCGCAATAGAGTAATATAGTTTTGTAACATATGAACGTAGGGGAGTTTCTAAAATCTCCACATATTACCCGTAACATTAGAATTGCGCTGAGAACTAATTTTATTTATCTTTTCAGAACTATTATTCTTTGTATTTTTCTAAGTATAAACATACATGTGTACATATGTATGTATATCAAAATATAATATTATAGTCGATTTTACAATGAAGATGACACGACAAGACAATGACAATAGTGAATCCTCAGCAAGTACTCGACTCATTTCAACCAAATTAAATTCTGGTTCTTTCAGTTTACGAATATAAATGCATCAATCTGTATCTTAATGAAATTAAGTTTTCAGCTTGCATTCCTCGTATTAAAGATATGTATATTAAAAATAGATATAATAGGTCCCGTATTTATCCTTTCATTTTCGAAAGTAAGGATTTTCAAACTTCTGGTTGACTTTACACCATATACGTATATGTGTATGTATAAAATATTTTAGTAAGATGAAGTGAACGCACATTTGTGTGTATCTGTATATGTAAGAATTGAAGTTTTTTTTCAAGTGCTACCATCAATTCATGTAAACTCCAAAAATTGCCGTTGAAGTGGTTGGTTGATAAAAATTAATTATTTTAATTTTTTTGTTGTATGTATGTACACTTGTGCTCACACAATTAAGCCACATAAACGYTATGGTGTACAAATTCATAAAAGTTGAATTTTATTGATAAATCGGAAAAAAAAGTTTCACAAAATTAAAAGAAAGTACTTAAACTTTATTGTACTTATAGT